TATTGATTTTAATGATAAAAACTTCATTTTCTTGCAGGTTAATGATCCAATCACCAAAGGATGTCAAATGAGGGGAAAAGGAGATAATTGGTGATGAATTCAAGTAGTAAAAAAGAGAAATGAAGTGAAAAACGTTCAAAGTGAGGAAATGCAATTCAAGACAGTTTTGACACTCTTCGGTATTTTAACTATATCTGGAGCTACACTTATCGAATTGAGCTGATCTTTATACCATTTTAAAGCTAAGAAAGAGATCTACAATTGTTATGAAGACATCGAAATCCCATTCTGCTGGTTTCATGGACAAAAAGTCAGAATACAGAAGCTGCATTCTGTGGTCGAAAATCGAAACAGGGGTTTGACTAGGTGATAGTATTTTGATCATATCTCAGGCTACAAATCTCCGATTTAGATGATTTTGGAAGCATTGAAAAGCAACTCAAAGGGCTGCAATTTTTGTGTTTTGCACAAAAGCCAGTTCGGCCTTTATCATGGAGAAAATCGCAGTTGATGCAAGGCCAAAGTGAAAACGCGAGCTGTAGGCGCGTTTTGTAGCCGAAATTCTGCAATTTTGCTTAGCCATTTCTCTTGTGTTCAGACTAATTTTCAGCTATAAGTTGCAAGGGAATTCGGTGCATATGCTTCAGAAGACAAAAGGGCAAGAAAGGTGGCTTATTTTCAAGTAAAAAACATTGGTTATTGACTATCCTAACAAAGTTGAGATTTGGAAATCAAAAGGTGAAATTTGACTTGGAAAGATGAAACTCTTGAGCAGTTTTTATGTAGAGACATTGGGAGAGGTCTGAACATCCATACGTAGCCAGATTTTCTGATAGCAAATTCTCTCTAACTAGCAAATATAGAAAAATAGGGAGATACGGGAGAAACTTGGAGTGCAAAAAATGTAGTTCCTACATCTTCTGAGTATTAGATTAGTTTTAGTGTAAACTAGTATAGTTCATCCATTCTTGTATATTGGCTAGATTAGGATGAAGAAGGAGGAGTTGAAGCTCAAGTGACATGGGTTATCTCTTCGCCAACTCTTTATCTTTTGTACTTGATTCCAAGTTTAGTTAATATACAAGTTCTGGATTTTGTGTTCAATATGTGTCTCTAAAGTTTATGCTTTGGGTTTGATTAAACTTTCTATAATTGTTAGTGTTTATTATTTGGTTATTTGATTGCTATGATTTGAGCAAGTTATTTAGCACTTTGGCTCTTTAAATCATGATTAATCTGGTACCATTGATTGTGATTATCTAAGGTGTTGATTTTGCAATGAAAATTGAGATTTAACACTAGTTCAAGAAGTGCTAAACATAGGGAGTACACTCACGAAAGTAGAGGTGCACCTATGTGATTTTTAGTGATTCATTTCATGTAATTTCACTGAAGAAATGAACTTGTAACTAATTTCATAATCATGAGAATAGGTATGGATTAGTTATAAGTATAATTGATTCACTATGAAAGTAGGATTCAAATGCATGAGGAAATTATACCATAACTAGCCTAGATGTAGTACTCAATGATCCAAATATAGCACTTGCATGAGTAGTTAGGGATACCACAATCTAAGAAGCTTTTATTTGTTATTTTGTATAATTTCAGTAGGTTAAATTTGTTATAATTCATTAATAGTCTAAATAATAGAGAAGTTTTAGTAATACCGGTAATTGTTCACTCTTCCCTGTGGGATCGACCCGATATATACCTTAAACTACTAGTTGATCTGTATACTTGTAGTGAACGAGTGTAATTCGGTTTTTTTAACTTGTACGTATATGTAAAATACCCGACAAGTTTTTGGCGCCGCTACCAAAGATAGATTTGGCAATATTGGTGTGAAGAGCAATTTTATTAGTTTAGACATATTATTAGTTATACTGTGAATGTTATTTTCTGTTATTTTAGTATTTTATAAGTGTATGTGTTTTATCACCTATTGTTCTTACTAATCTTGCTCTTAAGTTGTTTAAAGGCAATTTTAGGTAATGAGGAGGGTAGGTCAATTTGGAGGACAATGCATGAGAAATAGAAGTTTGGCAATGGATGGTTACCAAGTGCAAAACTCCTTCAATAGAGGTAACCAAGAATTTACTGAATGTATGTCTTTTGAAGATGGTTTAAGGCGCTTAAAGGCTAAATTTGATGTTATGATGCTACAAGTTCAAATGGACACAATTATGCATGAAATTGAGCAAGGGAGGAATGCTAATGCTTTTAATTCTTATCATGTGATTTGTGACTTGTGTAGAGGTTATCATGCTACTAACACATGTATGCAAGTACAAAATGTGGATTATCATGATGAATTAGAGCATTATAATCCCTGTTTTGATCGATATAGTGCTAATTGGAGCAATTCTCCTGCTTATGGTTGGAACAATCAATGTACTTATAGTGATTATTCATATTTTTATGATTACCAACCTGAAAGTATCCAATCTGAATCAAAACCATCTTGGGAGTTGGCAATAGAGAAGTTAGCTAATGCACCTCTACCTTGGGAGTTAGAAAATAAACCATTAGCTAATGATTCTAATGTATCTTGGGAGCTAGCGGTAGAAAATTTTTCTAATCAATTTGATTTAACAATAGAAAAGCTAGCAAATGCAACTTCCGACCATTTTGATAGGATTGAGGAAAGAATAGATGAATTAGCTTCTCACTTTGGTAGAATACATGAGCAATTGAATGCATTGTGTGAAGTTATTTCCTCTAATAATTTGTAAACTGATCCTAGCATGAATGGTGGGAATGTTGTATGTGAAAATGGGTTACATTTTGATGAAAATGATGAATCTCAAGTGTATTTTAGTGAGCAAATATCCATTTCACACGATAATATCTTTGGAACTAACTTTGAGCCTCAAGAGGTGAGTTTTAATGACTCATTTTTCACCCCTCTTGAGGAGTACATTGAAAGTATAGGTTCTAAGGGTAATGCTGCCTAAGATATTTCCATGGCATTTCCTTTTGTAAGTTCTCAAGTGGTGCATACTCAAGGTAATATCTATGATTCACTTGAGTTAGGTAAGCTACTTCCACCTCTTATATCATTAGAACACGTGACTCATGTGATCGAGTCACCTTTTAATGATCCACCACGTCCAAAAATGGTGGATTATTCTTTAACCAAGTCTCCTTGAAAAATGAGGTTCAATAGTCGAGCCAACGACTATAAACAAAAGCGCTTGTTGGGAGGCAACCCAATGTTTTAGTACTTTATGTTATTTTGGTATGATTTTATGTTCAAATTATATGTTTGATTTATTTTATTATTTTTCATTTGTAGATATTAAAAATGGAAGCAAAAGATGACCATATGAGGTGAAAAAAGCAAACTTTGATCAAACAACTCAAGCCCTTAATTTACGTTAAAGGTGTTTTTGATTCACTAAAAAGGGGTAAAATGCACGTTTTCAGTGTTTTACATCTACATACATTGGTAAATTTGGCAAACAAATGATCTAGGATGAATTTTGAGTGATTGGGGTACCATTTGTAATTTTGTAAAAGTTGAATTTCTGCTAAAATTCGCAGCAGAAAACGCATTTTTCACAAAAACGCGCTTCGGAGTCGCGTGTGTGCAGAATTGCGTTTTCAATTCTGCACCTAGAGAACAGAAAACGCGCCTTATAAACACGACTAAAAGTCGCGTTTTGATGGAAATCGTGTTTTCAAGCCTGGATCAAACTGAAAAACGCGACTTTCAAAACACGACAATAAGTCGCGTTTTACAACACACTCGCGTTTTCATTGCTGCAAGATTTCTAAAGGAAACACGAGTTGAAGGCGCGTTTTTAGTCGCGTTTTATGTGTCCAAACAAGAGCTTTAGAAACGCAATTTCAGCTTCATTTTTTCTTCCTCTTTGCCCAACTTCAGTCGCGTTTTTTCTTTTCTCTTCTACCCAACTCACAAATCTTCAATTTTGTTCCATAATCTTGTTAGAAAACATCAACCCAACACCTTTTGAGCATCCAATAACCTTTCTAACCGATTAAAATTCAAGAAAAACACTTTAAATTCGGTTTTTAAGGAATTGAAGGCTAGGGTTTGTGAATTCTAATTTCCTCAATTGGAGTTCAATTGGAGGTTGTTTCATAGGGTTTTTCACATTTTTAACATCACCAAACATCCTTCTACGAGATTGAGGTAAGTTTCTTCATCAAATCATTTGATTTTAGAAGTTCATATTTTTTTTTATCCTGAGCTTTCTGACATCTTTTAATTTCAAAAATTTGATGATGTATATGACTATTTTTGAATTTATTCATGCTTATTAAGATTGTTTAAACATGTTTATATGTTTAAATGTAGCAATTTGTTGGTCATTATTGCTTTAAAAATTCACAATTGCTGTATTTGGAGGAAATTGGAAAATGGATTTAGGATGTTTTTAAGCCATTGGTGATTATTAATTATGGTTAAGAATGGTTAGTTGATTATGTTTGAGCATGTGCATTGTGTATAGTGAACAATTTGGTTGAATTTGTGAGTTAATTAGTTTAATTTTTGTCTAACCATGGTTATAGCTAATTGCACATTATTATTATTAATTATAGATTACTATAATCAGGATTGATGCTACTTTCACTGATTGAATTATAATTGATACATATCTTGTTTAAGTTGGTGATTTTGGGCAATTTTTAGCAGAAAATATGTTTCTTTTTGTATGATCATTGAATGATTAGAACTTGAGGAAATGTATTTGAGGCTATTTGGATTAATTCTGGATTTTTGTTGCCAAATAATGATTCATGTCCTATGTACATGTGATTAATTGAAAATTTTTTTTAGGTACTATGCCAAGGGGAAGAAGAGTGATACCGTCATCCTCTAGTAGTGATGAGAGGGAGGTGAATGCGAAAATGGAGGTGACTGAGGAGGAAATGTCATCTTCTCCTCCACCAGTTAGCTGACAACCTGGTGAGGGCACCTCTCGTGGAGCGGGAAAGTCGGTATATGACAGTGCTAGGTTCAACAATCGCAGGAATCAGGAGTGGCATGAGGAGCATGCTAATTTGGAGTTTTTGTTTGAGATGCACGTGAGCCCACCAGTTGAGATGATGTACAACATCTCGGAGGCTTTTGCTCAACATGGCTGGATTCCGATTCTCATCTTACCAAACCATTACTACCCCGACTTGGTGCGCGAGTTTTACGCCAACATTCAGAGTAAGGCGCGCCACAGTGGAGAAATGGTTGAGTCCTGGTGCGTGGAAGACGAATCGTCTTGTCACGTCAAGATTTGACCGCTATTTTGGGGTGTATGGATGACCGACGTCCAGTAGATTTGAAGAAGGAGTTTGTTCCCCCGAATAGGAGATGGGATCCATCATTGGCCATGGCCAAATTTGGTCTCGAGTACCAACCTTTTCGCTCTACAAGGAAGGAGACCATATTAGCGAATGTCTTCGAACCTCGTCATCATCTTATCATTTATATGATGGCTCACAATGTTATTCCTAAGAAGACGGGGCACACGGAGGTTCGCAAGAGCAATATCTACTTCTTGGACTACATGTTCTATAACCAGACGTCTCCATATGCTCGCATTTCGCTGCCTAACATCATCATTAGCCACATTCGGTCTACGGCGAGGCGTAAGACAACTTCTTTCAAATTATCATTTTCTCGTCTACTAACCTTGATCTTCCCGCATTTTGAGGTTCGCTTGGAAGGCATGCGGCGGGAGTATGTTCCACCGAGAGCTGAATTATCTATCACTATCTCCGCTGGCTTGGTATTGGCACGGGGGACGTTCTACGCTCTATTCAGGAGCGGAGACAGAAGGCTAGACATGGTCACAATGAAGCTGGACCATCTACTGCAGCATCACCTCCTCCTCCGCCACAAACCAACTGGCAGCGGCTCTTTGGTCGTTTAGATGACATCGATCATTGCTTACCCAGAATGGATACTCGCCTGGATCGAATTGAAGATCATTTAGGCACACGCCCACCTCCCGTTGATGATGATGAAGATGACGATGAAGAGGATGATTGAGGCCGCCCCTTTGGATGTTCCTTGTTTACTTTTTTATTGTTCATCTTTTATTTATGGGATGTTTAACTTAAGTGTCTAATTTGAATATTGGAACTTGTGGCAGTTACTTGTAGCTAGTTGCTTGTAGATGGTTGATCGGTCGCTGGTTCGTGACTCAAGGATAAACTGGACCGCATCCATCTCAACTGGGGAGTAACTTGTTCCTACTTTCTTTTCTTTTCTTCTTTTGTTTCTTCCCCTCCCTACACATTGAGGACAATGTGTATTTTAAGCGTGGGGGAGAAATATATGTGGTACTTATGGTTTTAGTTGTGTTTAAGGTTGGTTATGTTATTGGAAATATTTCTTGTGCTTCAATTTTGTTTCTTATGGGTTGCTGGCAGGGAGTTTAGTCTAGTTTTAAAGGGAGACTCTGTCCAAATTTTTTCAAAACCTTATACATATATATATATATATAATCATCATAATAAATAAATAAAATTTTGTCACTTATCCTTTTGAAATAAATATATATGGATTTGGAAACTTATTTTCTCATTCAATCTAAAAATGACTAATATGTGATTATAATTTATGCATTTGTAGGAAAGTATATCTTGTAAAGTGGAAAAAAATTATGCCTATTTTTTTTTGCATAGTTAATGAAATTTCTTCTCTTTATTGGATTTTATAAGTTAAGTGATAAATATGGTCAATAATTGCAATACTCTTCTCATGATTATGCTTTTGAGGGAATGTTATTATCTTTACTTTTAAAAAAATAAAAAATGAAAAAATGAAAAATGAAAAAAAATGAAGAAAAAAAGAAAAAGACAAAAATAGAATAAGATTTGTTCTACTCCAATGATTCTTGTACTTAGTAACCGAGTGTCTTCATCTAAAAATGTCGACTTTCGCGTAAAATAGTACTTGAATTAAGAGTATGCAAAGCAACTTGAGTATGCGAAGTGTTGAGTAACCGGTGATTTTCATCTAAAAATGTCGATTCTCGCGTAAAAAGATAGTTTCACAACTTAAGTAATACTTAGCTATATTATATAAATAAATCTCTCTTTAAGTTAAATAAGAAGATGATCATGGGTTTAGGAAGTATTTTATTGATTATATGAATTACTTGCTTGTGAAATTGAGTACGGATGAAAAATTGAATTAAACTTGTTATAATTATGGTATAATTGACTCTCCTTTACTTGAAATTATGAGTACTTGAGGTTATTGAATGATTGCATAATAGTTATTTACTTTGTTTTAAGAAAATGAAGTTGAAATGCTACATATGTTTATTTTCAAATTTTGGATCACTGTTGGTTTGTATTTCTTATTGCTTAAGGACAAGCAATGATTCAAGTGTGGGGGTATTTGATAAGAGTTTATTTTACGTATTTTTAAGTATATTTTATTAGTTAATTTTAGTTTGATTATTTAGTTTTATAACTAAAATAACTAGGTTTTGGTAAAAATATACAATTTTTGTAAAAGTGGCTAATATGGCATTTCTATTGATTTTAATGGTAAAAACTTCATTTTCTTGCAGGTTAATAATCCAATCACCAAAGGATGTCAAATGAGGGGAAAAGTAGATAATTGGTGATGAATTCAAGTGGTAAAAAAGAGAAATGAAGTGAAAAACGTTCAAAGTGAGGAAATGTAATTCAAGACAGTTTTGACACTCTTCGGTATTTTGACTATATCAGGAGCTACACTTACCGGATTGAGGTGATATTTATACCATTTTAAAGCTAAAAAAGAGATCTACAATTGTTATGAAGACATCGAAATCCCATTCTGCTGTTTTCATGGACAAAAAGTTGGAATACAGAAGCTGCATTCTGTGGTCAAAAATCGAAACAGAGGTTTGACCAGGTGATAGTATTTCGATCATATCTCAGGCTACAAAGCTCCGATTTAGATGATTTTGGAAGCATTGGAAAGCTAACTCAAAGGGTTACAACTTTTGTATTTTGTACAAAAGCCAGATGTGATGTCTAGCAAAAATTTATTATTTTAAAATCCATTCCGAGCTTAATTAAATATTTAATTGTCCATTTATTCCGAATATTATTTTTTAAACCTCTTTAGACCTAATTACATGGAATTATAGTTTCGTTATATTTTTAAAGTGACTCGTTTCAAAATTTAATTTTTGAAAGTTCGTTAATTGAAAATAATGAATACGCGATTGGAGTCAATAATCGATTCAAGGATACCGTAAGTTGGGAAAATTGGAGACTTGCATAATGGTCTTAAGATAGGTATTTTATGTTTAAATACTCAAGTGATAGTTATTAGTACTATCGTTATAAGAAATTCATGAAAGTTTCGCTTTATCGCGCTTAATTTGGAGATATGCGTTTTTACACGCGCGATTTAATTGAGGAACTTTAAACCCTTATTTTGGGATAATTAAGAGTAAATAATATTAATATGATTATAAGTATATTGGAGGTTTAATGCACTAGTGAAATGAACGCGAGAGGAATCGAGCACAAAACGGGCGCGTACGCGCACTATTGGAGAGTTGACTTTTGTACACTTGAAACCCACAATTGCTAAGCTTCTCATTCAAACCTCACCATCAGCAAACACTCTCCATTTCTCATCTCAACACAACCGAACAGCAAGGGAAAGAAGAACCAGCCTTGCTCCATCACTTTCTACTCCAAATTCTTGCACCAAATCTCAACCAAATCAAACCAAAATTGAACTACACCTAGTTGAACACTTGGGGATTGTATCTAGCTAAAAGGGGGGAGCTTTTCACTGTTCATTTTGAAACAAGGAGGGGCCAAAAATTCTGTCTTGTTCACCAATACAAGTGACGATCAATCCTCAAATTCTTAGCCTATGGAAGTTGATTTACACTTATGAGCTTAGATATTCATGTGGGTGGCTTGTTATTATTGGAAAATTTTGAATGTGGGCTCTATGAACTCCTACTCTTGGATTGATGGCTGATGTGATGATTGATGATGGATTTAATGTTGGTTTAGTGGTCAAATTGGTAGATTAATGGTGCATAACTAGTATAAACTTCAAGGTGGGCATGGATGTAAAGTTTCCAATTCTGCCCCTATTATGATCGTGCCTCTTTTTGTGGAATTTTGAGGTTTTAATGGCTTTTATATGATGTTTATATGTTTTATAGATGGTGTATAAAGTTTCATCGAAAAATATTGAGGTTTGGTTGGTCAAATGGATTAATCTTACGAAGCTAGCAAACCTGGATAAATTTTCCCGTAATGCTCAGACAGCTTTCTTGTTTCGTCCATAACTCTGTGCTTCGATGTCAAAATCAAGTGCCATTAGTGGCATTTGAAACTAGACATTTCCAGCTTTCCAACGGTATAAAATGCAACTCCTAATTCCACCCGAGTATTCCGTACCAACCGTTTAAAGATGATTGTCCTGTTTCTCTGTTTTCCTGGAGCGAAGTTCAGAAGCTACAACTTGAGGCTCGAATTTGAGCTAGTTGTGTGCTGAATTTTAAAATGATTTCTTCTGTGAAATTATAGTTTTATGAATTTATTTTCCAAATCCACCAACCATGCTCAATTCTGAGTTGAATTGAGTGATTTGTGATCAAAATACGAAACCTGCCCTGTTCTTGAAAACCCTAAATTTTGGGCAGAATTGATGCTAGACTTGGTATGGACTTGCCAATTGAATTTCTTGGAGTTGAAACACTTACCAAATGTACCATGAATATTCCTTAGGCTTTTCCTATACAAATGAACCATGGTTGAAGGATTTTCCTTGGCCAAATGTTTTGAATGGAAAACAAAAAAGCTCAAGGCAGTTCTGCCTAGGATTTTTCGAAACTTTAGGTGTTTGGTTGAGTACCTTCCCGAAGTTAGTTTTCCATGAAATTTGATAGAGGGATACCCTTTATAGAGGAGTATTATATTTCCAAATTTGGTACCAATCCGAGTCCATGTCGCTGCTCGACTAAATTACCAAAATTCATGACTCGAGTTTGGAAAACCTTGTTTCACAAGGGAATTTTGGTAACTTTGGATTGCCATATCTTAGTGCTCAAAACTCCGTTTCTTATTCCGCTTATTTTGTTGTAAACTTGGATTGCGACTCTAATAGAGTTCTAAATTTCAAAGGCTAGTTCCAATCAAGTGAATTTTGCCGAATTTTTAAAATTGACCAAAAACCAACTTAAATCTGCCTTATGAACCAAAACAGCGACTTTGAGCTTATTTTTGAATATTTTCCATTTGGAATCTTAGAAAAGTGTATT